TATATATATATATATATATATATATATATATATATATATATATATATATATATATATATATATATATATATATATATATATATAGATAACCCGAAGGCTAGACTGGACTTATATGAATATTGCAGGCGACCTGAATTACATCTGCAGTCTGGGAACAATGGTAATGTGGTCCAACCCATGGCCAGCTACACATTCACTTTGGAACAAAGACGACAGATTTGTGAGTGGGTTACAAACCTAAAGATGCCAAGGGCTATGCATCGAACCTAGGAAAACGTGCTGATAGGGCTGAGGGAAAGCTGACTCATATGAAAAGTTATGACTGTTATATCTTCATGGAAACCTTAATCCCTAAGTATAAAGTATATAAGTTGTATAAGATGTACATATAGTATAGTATAGTGTATATATATATATGATGTTCGGTCAGAAATGCATATATTTAACCATTGTTGCCTCATATTCTAGCACTTTTTAATCGTCTTTTGAGTATTAATTATATTACTTTATGCTTAATATTATATTTTAACTGTGTAGGATTAAATCAGGGTGAAGGTGAAGATATTTGAAGCAAAATTGAATAAAACGCGGAAATAAAAGAAAGAAAAATAAAAGAATTTAATATAGGGAGACAAAGGGGGACACCCTTTGGGTTTTGTCCCCCAAATGCAAGACAAAAAGAAGAGAGGAGGAATTACATTGTTGAAGTGAAATTGAAAAACATTACTGCTTTGTGCGCCAGGGCCAACGCTAGGTGCTGGCCAGGACACTCGGAGCGGGGACTTGTCGTATTTCGTCTAGGACTTGGTTATTTTGGCCCTACACACCTCCAACTCGTATAAAAGGGGTCCAAAACCTATTTTGGAGGGTGAGGACGTTTTTGAGAGAAAAACACAAGCATAAAGCCGCCGTGGAGGCCGGAATTCATCAAGTTCCATCTTTTCTTCCATCAAACTTAGTAATTTTTATGTTTCTTTGTATGATTTGTTGTTTTGCTACCATGTCTATGTGGATCTAAACTTCACGTTCTAGGGTTGTGGTTCTTTCATGACTATTGTTATTCGGATATTGATTTTGATTTCTTAGTTTATCATATTGGTTTATTTATTCAATCCTTCACTTAATTATTTGATTGCTTGATCACCAATTGAATACTATCTACGAATCTTGAATTGAACTCGAAAGTGGGAATTCTAAATTGCATATAAGATTGAGTAGAGCAAGTTCTTGAACTTGGGCATCGGGGAACGGATTCGCGGTTAGGATAGACATATACCTAATTGCCTTGCTTGGTTAATTTACAGGAATTATAAATGCATTCTTGTTAGTTCTAATTTCATAGACATATAGGAGTTAGGTTAGCTTGAATAGGCGAGTAAGAACTCGAGAAATTCTTATGAGCAATATTAACCCTGTTAACCAATAAACTAGATAAATTAGTTAGTCAATTCAATTGAAGAATACAATAGGAATGTTACATAGCCCATAACTCTAGATCGTTTTCATTACATTGATATCATAAAAATCTGCTCTTTCTCTGTTCAAAGTTCATTATTTATATTTCTTAATTTAATTAGTTTAGAATCAAAAATTTCTAGGTTTAATTCTTGTTTAGATAATTAAGATAGTCTAATTTAGTTAATAATTAATCACAAGTCCTCGTGGGTTCGACATCCGACTTTTAGTCACTTTATTACTTGACGATCGCGTATACTTGCATGTGCGTTTGGCCGCAACAATATACACACTATCATATATATATATATATATATATATATATATATATATATATATAATATATATATATATATATATATATATTATATATAATATATATATATATATATATATATTCGACAATAACCGACCAACTTCGATCGGTATTGTAATTGTAACGACCCGACCTGTCGTATTGAGCAATTGCACTTCGGTCGGTTGTTTGAGGGCATGAGGAACTCCGTATGATGTATTATGACTTATGTGAATCGTAGGTTTTGGTTTTCAGGTTATCCAAAATCGATTTGAGAGAATGGTCTCAGCTAGAGGCTTTAAATTTGAAAGGTTTGACCAAGTTTTGACTTTTTAGTATTCGACCCCGTATTTGAATTTTGATGGTTCCGTTAGCTCCGTTAGGTGATTTTGGACTTGGGAGCGCGTCCGAAATGTGAGTTGGAGGTCCGTGGCAGAATTTGGCTTTAATTGGCGAAAGTTGGAATTTTGGCGATTTTGCTCGACAGTGGAAATTTTGATATCGGGGTCAGAATGGAATTTCAGAAGTTGGACTAGGTCCGTAGTATCATTTGTGACGTGTGTGCCAAATTTGGGGTTGAATCTGAGGGTAATTTGGTGTTTTGATGTTGTTTTGAGTGATTCGAAGGTTCGACTAAGTTTGAATGATGTTATGGGATGTGTTGGTATGTTTGGTTGAGGTCCCGAGGGCCTCGGGTGAGTTTCGGGTGGTTGACTGATCAATTCTTGGCTTTAGAAGTTGGCAGATTTTTTGGTGTGATGTTGCAGAGATTTCCTTCATCGCGTTCGCGAGAGGGCTCTCGCGTTCGCGTATGGCATTTGAAAAGAGCAGCTGAGTTGTTCTTCACGTTCGCGAAGGTGTATGACAATAAGGCTACGCGTTCGCGACCAGGTCATCGCGTTCGCACAGAGTCAACAGTCATTGGAGCTTCAGGCATATAAGCCTACACGTTCGCGAGGAGCGTACCGCGTTCGTGTAGGGTCAATCGGCGTAGGCTTCGCATTCGCGAGGAGGTCCTCGCGTTGGCGGAGGAGGAATTCCAGGTCAAGGGCAGTTTGTGCTTCGCGAACGCGAGGGCACTATCGCGTTCGCGAAGAGTAAAATCTGGGCAGGCAGTGTTATATTCAAAATCGAGGGTTTGTTACGACCCGGATTTCCCACCTTCAGGAGTCGTGATGGCACCTACTCGTGAAAGCTAGGCAAGCCAATAATTACAGTTTTACTATTATTATTAACTCAAACAGGAACAGATAATAACTAAAACAAAATAATTATGAAATGCGGAAGTGATATAGCAATCCAACAATTCTAATACATAACTACCCCAACTGATCTGGTGTTACAATTCACGAACGACTAAGATTTACTGCAAATATAAGTCTGAAAGAAGTACAACTGTTCTCGAAATAGAAGAGACTGAAGAAACTAAAACAAGGAAAGGGAACTTCAGGCTCTGCGAACGCCAGCAGATCTACCTTGATCTCCATGGACCGAAGGCAGCAACCTCGAATCTACTCACAAGGTCCAGCACCGAAATCTGCACAAAAAGTGCAGAGTGCAGTATCATTACAACCGACCCCATGTACTGGTAAGTGTCGAGCCTAACCTCGGCGAAGTAGTGACTAGGCTAGGACACGACAACCATATAAACATGTGCAGTTAATTCATATACGAGCAGAACAATAATAACAGAAAATAACAGATAAAGATGGAAAGGGGAAATATGCTGCGGGGAATATCAAATCTAATAGTAATTCAACAGAGAAGCATAATGAACCCCATATTTGTATCAACAGGGATAATGAAACAGTAACACGTGCACGGCATCACCCTTCGTGCTTTTAATCTCGTTCTCACCATAAGAAACAACAGAAATGGCACGGCATCACCCTCCGTGCATTAACTCTCATAATCGTGGCACGACATCACCCTTCGTGCATTAGCTCTCAAATCATGGCACGGCATCACCCTTCGTGCATTAACACTCACAATATCGGCACGGCATCACCCTTCGTGCATTAACACTCACTCACAATATCGTGCGCGACACCACCCTTCATGCTTTACACTCTTCCTCACCCAAACAATAGAAATAATACATTCCGGCAAGGGAATCAACAATGGAACAATAACATCCCGGCAAGGGAATCAACAATAGAAACAATAACATCCCGGCAAGGGAATCAACAATAACCAATCTCGTTTCAACAGTTAATTCCATGAAATAAGTCTCAACTTAGGTCAGTACTCAACAATGATCAAATACTCAACAATATCATAAAACTTGCTTAACATAGAGAAATATCATTTTAAGCATGAACAGTACATGATAATAGACATAACAGTCACAATATAAGACTCACTTGCACGCTCAACATCCACGTATCTCTACGACTAGGTAAGCCTAGCAATTGCGGAAAAGAAACGAAATGCGGAAAAACCAATAAAAACTGAAGATAAATAAAGATAGAAACGTTTAAGATGTCGCTCGGCATAAACCAATACATGTTCTCAAAAATTGGAACAACTCCCAAAACCCGAAATCTTACGAAATCACAAGCTGAGAATGCTTACATAAAGTTCTAACTCCAGAATATCTAGTCAACAGAGAGTACAAAAGACCTAAAGCTAACTGAAAGAGATAGAGAGAGACTCCTCGGTCCGCGGACGCTACAGATATACCTCAAAGTCTCCGAAAGTCGCCTCGTCTCGCTAACGATATGGCTGAGCAGATGAACCTGGATCTGCACACGGAAAAACATGTGCAGGAAAGGGCATGAGTACACCACGGTGGTACCTAGTAAGTGCCAAGCCTAACCTCGGTCGAGTAGTGACGTGGAAGGTCAGGTCCCTACCGGTCATAAACATATATATATATATATATATATATATATATATATATATATATATATATAAAACAGTATAAAGCAACATAGGGTAATAAGAATAACAACAACTACAACAGAGACAAAATCACAGAAAGAAGATAGCTCTACACAGAGATAGCACCCGGGGATCTACCAGGATACCGTCCTGAAATCCCAAAATGTAAATAACCAGCAACCGGGGATCTACCAGGATACCGTACTGTAGTCCCCAAATGTAAATATCCAGTGGATCTCCCGGGTGTCGTCCCGTAGTCCAACTCATAGTGCGCAGGGGATCTACCGGAATACCAATACGTAGTCCCAAATGTAAATACCTAGTACTGGGGGAATCTATCGGGTGCAGTCCCGTAGTTCCAATATAATTGTGCAGGGGGATCTACCGGAATACCGATCCGTAGTCCCAAATAAACAGGCAAGGGGGATCTATCGGGATACCGCCCGTAGTCCCAAAGTAAACACACAACAGCAACACGAAGAATATTCAATTCAATCCAATTTCATACCAAGGTAAAACAGGTATTTCTAACCTAGCACGCTGCACAGAATTCAAATAAAGCAGTTTGAGCAAGTAAAACAATCGACTCATTTAGACATGCTTTCCTAAGCTAGCAGTAGGCTTAAATTGCAAGTAGTATAAACAGGGAAGAAAACACAATTATAGTTACTTAATGAAAATCTGATTTTGAACAATTAGCACATGTACGCACTCGTCACCTCATGTAAAAGGCATTTCATATATCAACAACACCAAATCCTAAGGGGAGTCCCCCCCCCCCCCCCACAAGGTTAGGAAAGCCACTTACCTCGAACCAGCTCAATCAACTCGATATCACGTTCTTGCCATGAGTACCCGACTCCAAATGGCCCAAATCTATTCAAAGTAATTGCATAATGTAAATATAACTTCAAGTAACTAATTCAACTAATTAATTCGAAGCTAATACGCGAAATTAGGAAGATCTCCCAAAAAGTCCCCCGGTCCCACGTCTCGGAATCGGATAAAATTTGCAATCCTAGAATCCTCACACTCTCACGAGTTCAGACCACAAACTAGAATCCTCACACTCTCACGTGTTTATACATACCAAATACACGAAAATCGGACCACAAACAACCCCTCAAATCCCCAATTCCAAGTCTCCAATTTCAAACCCTAAACCCCCAAATTTAACCCTTACAATTTCTTGCCAAATCAGTAGAAAAATACCATAATACCGAGTTTGGGTTCCAAAAACCTTACCTCCTCGAAGCTCCCTTGAATTCTCTCTCAAAAACCTCCCAAAAAGCTCAAAATCCGGATGAAAATGGTGAAGGAATGGGCAAAAATCGCGACAATTACCTTATATAGGTTCTGGCCCAGGGTTTCCGCACCTGCGGCCATTTCCTCGCACCTGCGGTCCCAGGTGCGCATCTGCGAGAATTCACTTAAAGCACCAAGCCGCACCTGCGCTTCTTCTACTGCAACTGCGGTCTCGCAGGTGCGCTCCAGCTCTCTCACCTGCGACTTCAGAACTCCAAACGTCCAGCCGCATCTGCGGCTTCTCCATCGCTTCTACGGGCCCGCACCTGCAGTCCCTTGCACGCAGGTGCGGTTATGACAAATCCAGCCAACTTCAGATTTTTCTTAAGTCCAATTCAACTTCCGTTAAGCACCCGAAACTCACCCGATGCCCCCGGGACCTCAACCAAACATGCCAACCAATCCTAAAACATCATACGAACTTATTCCAACCCTCGAATCACATCAAACAACGCTAAAACCACAATTCACTCTCCAATCCAAGCCTAAGGATCCCCAAAACTTCCTAATTCCGCTTTCGATCAAAAAGTCTATCAAATCTCGTCCCAATGACCTGAAATTTTGCACACACGCCCCAAATGACACGACGGACCTATTCCAACTTCCGGAATTCCATTCCGGCCCCTATCAAATTCCCACTATCGAAACCAGGAACTTCAAAAATTTGACTTTCGTCATTTCAAGCCTAAATAAGCTACGGACCTCCAAAACATAATCCGAACGCGCCCCTAAGCCCGAAATCACCCAACGGAGCTAACGGAATCGACGAAATTCCATTCTGAGGCCGTCTTCGCACTGCTCCGACTACGGTCCAAATTCTAAAGCTTAAGCTCTCATTTAGGGACTAAGTGTCCCAAAACACTCCGAAACTCAAAACGAATCCTCCCGACAACTCACAATAGCAGAAACAAACACGGGGAATGCAGTTAATAGGGGAACGGGGCATTAATTCTTAAAACGATCGGCCGGGTCGTTACAATACTCGTCACCGTGCCTATACGTCAAACTCAATACTAACACGTAGCAAATAAGACAACAACACCTATTCCCTTAAGCTAAGGTTAGACCAAACACTTACCTCGGTTCCACAGCCGAAATCAAGCCTCAATTACCGCTTTACCTCTCAGTTCCACTTCCAATCCGCTTGAATCTAGTCATAATTAACTAATTAACATCAATTAACGCTAAATAAACCAATTCTAATGCATGAGTTAGATTTCCCAATGTTTTCCCCAAAAAGTCAAAAACCGACCCCGGGTCCGCTTGGTCAAAACTCAAAGTTCAAACCAAAACCCGATTACCCATTCATCCACGAACTCAAATATGCAATTTGTTTCGAAATCCGACATCAAATTGAGGTCCAAATCCCCAAAATTCAAAAATCCTAATTTCTACCCAAGAACACCCAATTTTCCCATTAAAAACCCTAGATTTTGAAGTGAAATCATGTAAAAACATGAAATAGATTGAAGAAAAAGAGTTAAGATTCATTTACCTATGATTTGGGGAAGAACTTGCTCTAGGAAAATTGCCCTTTGGAGTTTAGGTTTTGATATTTTGAAGAATGAAGTGAAAATCCCGTCTAAAATCTCACTTAACGGGCTGCAGTTATCGCAATTGCGATCAGGGGTTCGCAATTGCGAACCCTTTGAATTTACTGCTGCCTTCGCATTTGCGACACATATGTCGCAATTTCGGCCAAGTTTCGCATTTGCGAGGTTGGCCTTCCCAGGCCTTGTTCGCAT